TAATGAGATACAGAGGTACTACAATGTGCTGCAGAAGATTACATCTTTTTCTTTACCTTTTCTTCCCTTTAAGCTCTTTTGGTTAGCATTTCTATTGTGCATCTTAATGATTACATTCCTGGCTTCAGCTTGCTTCAGACTTCCATATAGATACTGATTATTTTTTTTTTTTCATGCATTATAAGAAATATTAAATGAGTAAGCTTTTTACTGTACATCTATTTGCTCTCTAAATACTGTATAAAGATTGAACACAGTACTACAAATAATGAAACTCTGAATGGGTTGCTTACTTCTGAACAACATCTCTTCCACTAAAGGGTATTAACTTTATGGTATTTGCTTCAAAAGCCCTGTCACATTTCTATTTAGCTAACTTAAAACCTAAAATGATAAAAAGCTGTAAATTTATCATGACCCTTTCTTTATAAAACCTCATGAATAAATATTATTTTTCAACACTTTATACTCTACAGCACCGTACATAAAGTTTTGCATGATTTTACACTATATAATGGGGTGGGTCATCATTTGAAATATTTTAACTATTGACAGAACATTAAAATTTTCCTTTCTCTTCCTCCACTAATCCCAAATTCATGAAAAAAAAACAAAAAACACAACATTGATGGTCTGCAGAGCCTCTCACACAGTCACTATTCTTAAATCCAATTTAGCCAATGCAACCAAAGAATTTCAGAATCACTGTATGATATAACTACATTGTCTCACCTCTTTCTGAATATGGAACGGAAATATTTACGTGCAGTGGAGTTCAGTAAAACAAATTTGTAAATACTTTATCTCGTCAACCTCCATTATTATGGCACAAAATTAACTACAGAAACACTAGAGGAAGTGTAACTAGGATCTAGCAGGAAATTTACTGGCAGGCATTACTCGCTGTATAGAATGAGTATAAAGCAAATATAGTCCTCTTGCTCCTGTGAATGAACATAAAGAATAACGCTAGCTAATGAGACAGTGCTGACAACTGATTCATAAAATAAACATAATGTGTTTGCGGTCTTTATAATGTACAAGAACAAAATTGAGTTTCCCACTGCACTGGAATTTAAATGGGATTTATGTTTGCTAATGTCCCTTAGGAGAACAGACAACTTTGAAAATTCTCATGGCTAATCATGATTACATATACACACATACACACACACATTTTCAAGTGTGGATTAATTACACGCAGGTCAGAACAATGCAAGCAGAAGTGTGTCACTAAATCAGACTGGTCTTGCTAATGGAGGTCATTGCCCCTATCATTTTCACTTCAGAATAATTTCTTGGTTAATTACCTTTCATGTCCAAAGATTCTAGCTCCAAAAAATGTAAATTTAGAAACAATTCATATGAGCCCACCCTCATGAGCTGCAGTCAGCTTCATTTTCCCTTGCCCTTTCATTATAAATGTTGTGACACTGCATTTGATTATTTTATCCTGAAAGACTTGTGAAATCAAAAAGATTATTGTATTGTCCAGGTAAATTAGCCTGTATAAGAGTTCTTGTCTGCAAAAATCTTTCCAAAAGGGCATAGATGATGGTTATATGAGAAAAAAAAAAACCAAAACAAAACAACCTGGTATCAGTTGGCAGATGAATAAAGAAAAGAACGTACTTGGGGCAGAAAGATGGAGTAATTAAGTGTAAGAATTACCTGTTGTAAGAATAGATATTTTAAATACTATACTTACGAGCACTGCAGGCCTCAAGCAGCCCCCAACAGTCTTTACTGGGAGTTAGACTGGAATAAAAATAACCAAGAGCTGCAGCATACCACTTTTACACAGCTGGTATTGTAAGCAGTGTGTGGCCATTCTCCTCTCCGAGAAATAAGAATATTTCTCAACTCACGTATGCTACAGATAAAGCAAACACCTATGTTTTTTTTCCAAAACAGTACACCATATTTTGCTGCTGAGTGTATGAAAGAGTAACAGTCAAGACTATCCTGACTCTCCCACTTTCTTCTAGCATGGGGACATGTCCCTGGGGTGACAAACAAACACTGCTAGTAACAAGGATCATCCCCACTATTTTTAAGGGGTCTGTACATGTAGAAGCCTGCTGAAGAGATGAAGAGAGGAAAGGCTTCTTTGCAGGAGGGCTTTACGAAAACTAGCCCTAATCAAAAAATAAAAAAAAGTTTTACAGCTAAATAACTGCTTAGCTGAATGAAGCAGAAGACAGAAAATGTGATGTCTTAACCTAACGGCCACAGATTTTTATGACCAAAAAAACAAGCAAACACTGCAGCAAATTGTCACTTACCAGAATGAAACCTGGAAAAAAGTCTTAAGACACTGAGAACCATAATATCTTAAAACCAACTTCTGTTAACAGTCCAAAGATTCAAATGTTGGAAGTGTTAAAAAATCCACAATTGGCCTCCTAAAGCTCATCAATACCTTTCCCTTGTTTTCTTGGGGTGTTTTTTTGGTTAAGCTGCAGAATGAATTTTAAGAGATCATATTGTCTCAAAAGATTAAGTCAGAAAAAGGATGAAGAGAAAGAGAGGTGATAGTTAACCTACCTCAGACTTGGATTCATGTCAATTATATTAGCAACATAATGTAATTTCTTTGCCCCCTACTCTCCACCCTATTTCAGAATGGATATTACAATAAATATGGACACGATACAATAATAGTGTCCCTGTGCCATTACTCTTTCTTAAGTGATCCAATGCAAAAAAAAAAACCAAACAAAACAACCCCCCCGCCTTTTTCCCTATGAATTTTATTTGGCTGCAGCAGAACTCATACTGGGCAAGATAAAACAAAACAAACCAAACAACAACAACAAATCCATACATAAACACATTTGTAATCCCTTAAGATAAATGCCTAAATGTGGGGCCACATTAGGGAAGATAAATTCTGGCTTTAAGAGTTTGACAATAACCCCAAACAGGATCTTCTAATATGGCAATATCCACTCCTGGCAGGCACTTAAAGATAGTAATAACTGTAGTAATGAATGTACGCACATTTCTACCAACATTACCTGTTAGTAGATATAATTCAGCTTGTTTGGCAGAGTTGCTAAGGATGCAGTTCATTTCACTTCGCTTTTGGTAGATAACGCTAAGCACCTACCCTAAGCTAGCTGTGTCATCCCTGCAGTCAGTGGAGAGACATGAGCACATCTGGAAGGTGATTTATTCCATCCTAGCTGAATGCCTAAGACAGCTAGGATCAATTTTCTTAGAAAATATCTTTCTCTCTCTCCACTGACTACAAGCCTGTATTTTATTATGGCATCAGGCACTACCGAGGCGAGAGCTTTGAAAGATAGCCCTCCACTCTGACCTGGGTTACTGATGCTGCAAACCACAGTCTACTAAAGGCTGGTGCAATTTTAATTATTCATACTCAGCAGTGGAATGAATGCACAATCTTACATGTGTCGCAGGAAAACTACATCTAAATATGAGTCTGCTGATTCAGGGGAGATCGTGTGTGCACTTAAACACATGCCTCTCTGTCCTGGTGGGTTAGCCTAAGATGCTGAAAATTAGGCAGGGTATAGACTTCATCCTGAAAATACACATCCTTGTCACACAGTACAATAACTTCATGTGATACTGTCTTAATCTCCACAGCTGTCTAGTTACATTAGATCAGTAGCACAGCTGAGCAAAAAACTTCCATACCTCGGCAACTCCGACTCCCAATCAAGCACTATGCAGCCAGCCAGCCTGCATTTTCAGTGCCGCCTTTCTGCAGCATGCTCCAGTGCCTGTAGCTCTTAGGGGTCTTACCTCCAGCTCACGTGGCCACTGCCTCAATCCGCAGCTAACTTCCCTCTTTAACAACTCATCAAAATCAGTACATCTGCCCCAATGTTTTGTCTTTTGAAAAAATTTCAATTCACTGAAGGTTAATGCTTATCTTTGTATTTCCTTCCATTCATCTAAGCAAGCAATGAAGAATCTGAGTTACCACAACTCTCCTAAATTTTACCACCACAGAAGTGGGTGAATGCATTTCTTTTGGGACTTGTATTTGCTGGCAGTTAGGAAGTGTTCAGAACTTAAGTATTTTCTGTGACTGAAAACAGAGGTGGCTACAGCTAACATGTTAATCGGAAAGTAGGTGTCTGTCAGGAAAATGCCATTTGCCTAAAAGCCTGACAGAGCTGGCATGGGCTGCGGGGAGCAATAGCCTATCGAGCTTTACAGAAGTAAGGAAACGTTCTGGCAACAGTGAGATGGCAGAAGGTAAGATAAAAGTAATTTATGTTCGCAGTGTTACCTAAACAGAGGCTCCTTTATCTAAGAAAAGGTGCTAAGAAAGGTGTACTTTCAAAAAGTATATTAAATATTAAAGCTTACAGAACTCATCTGACCGGAGTCTCGTAAATGGTACTAAAATCACCTACATGATGCACAGCAGGACTTTTTTCTTTTTCTCCCCGCCTGCCCCGGAGTCTTTTCCTGTAGGTATTTTGTCCAAGTACCACCATAACTGAATACCATTTCATGCAAAGCACACTCAGAGACATCTTGCTGTTTTTACAGGAATCAGAAAACACATATTCTCCCTCTAGGAATGTGCATCATTTGGGATTAGGAGACAGTGAAAGAGAAGGCAGCATCACACCAGTAAACCAAAGCATGCCAATCTGCATTGCTGTACTATTTTGCTAAACTGAAAGATAAAACAGTGAAGAGAATGATTCAATATCTTGCTCATACATCCCAACAGGAAGGCTTAATCCAGTGCCTACAGGCTGGTAATTAAGAAAATGGTAAACTTTGCTGTAGTCTAAGAAAAAAAAAACCAGGAACCCACACTCATTCATTCACACAATTTCATCTGCAATTTTTCAACATTAACGGACATAAAAAGTTCTGGCAGTTTGGTATCAAAATCAGAGACAGCCATGCTTTTCAACCCTCATTACTTCAATTATTGTTATATAAACTTCCATCAAAAGACAATCAACCCATGTAGGAAGCTTCTCTTAACATAAGATACTTACTTTACCACAATATTTCCTAAAGTCTTCGCCTTCACTGGTTCCTTATTTTCATCCAGAATCATCACTGCAAAAAAGTAATATAGGAAGACAACTCCTGTCAAGTAGTGTATTTTTAGGTGGAGGACAGTGTCTTTCTTCATGGATATCAACTTATGTCACACTTCAGAATGGCGATACACCAAGCAATAAAAGGAATTAAGCAGTTCGGGAGTTCCAAACTGGATAATCTCATGACCTTATTAACATTCAGCCTTAAGTACAAAAAGTCTCAAATAATACTTGTGCTTTGGGAGCAGAAATAGCTCAAAGTAAAAAAGGGAAAACTATAGAACTGAAAATTAAAAGACAGCTTCATATTGGAAAATCTGAACTTCCAAATAGCAAAGGACCCTTCAGATACACGACAAATACAAGAAAAGTGTGCAGGTAACATGAGTAAGAAATAACAATTAAGATTACTGGAGGCTAACCCAGCTAATGTGAGAAATACTATTAGCAGTAAATAAGTGTGTCTGGTTTTCAAAGGCTCTCAGGAGACCCAGGAAGATGCTCCCCAGCTGACAAGGCTTATTCTAATCTAGCACAAAAGGGTAAAGTAACTCGTGAACAGCCACACAGCAGGGCAATGCTAGAGTACAGCGAAGAATCCAGACTCGCCAACAGAAGCCTTTTCCCTGGATGATGCTGGCCCATCAACTTCAGTGAAAGCATCGTGTCCTGGTACTGAGGTTTCTGAGGAAAAACACCTGAAATAGATTTCCCAGATGACTGCACGGAAGAGGCTACTACAACCACCCATTCCATCTGAAGGTGTGGGCATACAGAAGGAATGACAGGTATCAACTTGGCCTGTGATAAATGGAATTAAACAAAGTTAAATGACTAAACCATGGAAAAACAGGGAGGAAAGGCTTTGACAGACTGGGCTGACATGGATTTAAAAACATGCTTTCTGAAGCCTGTCCAAGCAAAGAAAGCAATGTTCAGCTGGATCTAAATTACTGCAAAAAATCTTACATTCTGTATTAAAAAGTTCCAGAGGAAATGGGGAAAAGAGGATGACAGACTTCTGACTAAAACCTTGCTAAGACTCTTATGAGTAATATACTATACTATCTGTCCAAAGAATGCCAACATCTGTAATTTACTACTTCTGGCTGAAGCCACTCCTTCAAAGAGGATGGTAATTTTTAAGTAACTGAAGAGCCTGCTGAAAGCAATGGCTCAGCTCATAGACACAGGCCAGTCCACAAGGCCAGTTTTACAAATCAGTGACTTCGAAGGAGTAACTGGGATAGAAAATCAAAAGGATGAATGGAAACATAGAAGACACTTACGAAAAACAGTAAGAATGGCATAAATAAAACCCATTTATAATCTGTAAACACATTTTTTTTCTTATATATTTTTAGATGGTGTAAGAACATGTGTAAGAACATAGTATCGTTAGATTTGGAGAATTTAGGCTCAGAACACACGATGAAAAAGACCGACTCACATGTAGCTTTTAAAGCTTTCTCTCCCATTTTTTTTCCAATTTTTATTACACTAAAGTAAAATCTAGTCAGTTTATTGTAACTATTTTCTCAAGATAGCAATTCCAGCATTTATTCTCCTCCTTGCAAGCAGTGTATTTCAATGTGCAAAAATCTGGGGAAGGAAGGTATTATACTGCTCACTCCTGAATTACTGAAGAACTGACTTAATTCTTCAAAATGTGGCACTTGCTTCAGTTTGAAAACAATGCAATGAAATTATCTGCAAAGGGTGCAAGCAGATCAAAGGGAAAGCACAATATAATGTCTGATTTAAGACAACAGAGCTAGAAATTCATATGGTATCTTGATTCACTTTTAAATGCAATTCGTGCCACTGCACTTTGATATCACAGCTAAATACTGCTTTTATTTTTTATATTCTAAAAATTCAGCAAAGATATCAGTTTATTTTAGCAATACTGTGACAGGGAAGAATTTGGCTGTTTAAAAAAAAAAAGTAGATTTTGTAACATTTTATTTATATCACAGCATAAATACAACATAACTTTAGCAATGTCCAAAACCATTAACAGTTGCATGTATAATCTAAAAATACAGAATCTAGCTTCTAAATAGCATAAGGATCTCTTCTAATTAATATAGTAACAGCAGCAAAACAACATCAAAACAGAAGTGGGTGACAGCAAGACAGCTGCCAGTACAGAGTAATTTCAAGATCCACTATTTTATGAATGGCTGCATTACAGGACATAATTGGCCTCAAACCAAAGACTGAAAGGAGTAAAGTTCTTTCATAAATCTTTAGTGAATTTTAGTGTTCATTTTATGTTTCCCTTTTAAGGCATGCTAAAGACATTTCCTTCACTCTATTTGAAGAAATTCTTTACTTACACTAGGACCAATATTCCAAAAAAATTGTAGGAAATTTTTATATTCTTGCTACTCATACTTTTTTCTAGGCCTGACTATCATCTGATAGCATATGTCATGCAATTACATTCTTCCACTCTTCCCTATTGTGCTGGTTTTGGCTGGGATAGAGTTCATTTTCTTCACAGTAGCTAGTACGGGGCTATATTTTGGATTTGTGCTGAAAACAGTGTTGATAATGCAGGGATGTTTCCATTATTGTTGAGCAGTGCTTACACAGAGTCAAGGCTTTTTCTGCTTCTTGCACCATCCCACCACTTCTCACACCTCTTCTTGTGCTGGGGGTGCACAAGAAGTTGGGAGGGGACACAGCTGGGACAGCTGACCCCAGCTGACTAAAGTGCTATTCCATAGCATATGACATCATGCTCAGCATATAAAGCTCGGGGAAGGAGGAGGAAGGGGGAGACATTCAGAGTTATGGTGTTTGTCTTCCCAAGTAGCTGTTATACGTGATGGAGCCCTGCTCTCCTGGAGATGGCTGAACACCTGCCTGCCGATGGGAAGTAGTGAATTAATTCCTTGTTTTGCTTTGCTTGCATGCACGGCTTTTGCTTTCACTATTGAACTGTCTTTATCTCAACCCACAAGTTTTCTCACTTTTAATCTTGTGATTCTCTCCCCGATCCCACCAGGGGGGAGTGAGCGAGCAGCTGGGTGGTGCTTAGCTGCCAGCTGGGGTTAAACCACGACACCTATTTATTATAACTCTGGACAAAATTCACAGCTTTGTTTTAACATTGTTTTTAAGCTATTGCTTGTCTTCATGACATAACTGTAAATGCCAAAACCCAGAGCTGCTGAAAATGTTTATTTTCTTTAATGTTCACTTCTGCTTGTATGTATTAGAAGAAAAAACAGCTTAGCTCTTTCTGCCCAATGATGTGAGAACTTTTCCTGAAAATGGTTTGATCTTTAATGTAATTATTTTTTGGACTTCAAGTAATTCTTGAAAACTGTGTTAAAATCAGGGTTCCCAGGTATAAAAATATTTTTGCATTCTTAATCCTGTGGCTGCACGAGGTGCGATAACCCTCTGCATGCAAAAGCCTTCCAGACAATGAGTGCTCATCCTTTTAATGTTGGTCCGTAGCCTACCATTTCTCCCAGCTGGAAATAAAAATGCTCCACAAGTACTGAAAGATAATATGCTTAACAACTCTCTCAAATATGATCCCATATACCTATACAAAAAGGCAGAAAACTGACTTTGATTTTCTTTAAAGAAGGATGAGATGAGTTCAAACAGAAGATTTATATCCTTGCCAAGCTGCTTGTTAGCTCACTATGATGTATTTGAGGAAGACACAGACCTCAGTAAGAATTTTCTTTGTGCACTTCAGAATGCTTCTCATATAAAACTGTAAAGCCAAAAGAAAATCTAATCAATCTAATCATTGTGTCTCTGAGACGTAATTATTCAATGTACATCTCCCAAACCAAAACTATTTAAGCCCTGAAAATTGAAAACACAGGTATAACAGAACCCTCAAAGTGCAAGTTATAGCAATTATTTGTCTAGTTATCATTTATTTCTTCTTTTGCTGATGGTTATTACTAACATTTTTCTTCCTGATTTGCCAATACAAATGTTACTGCTGCTCTCATTTAAAACAGTGCAACTGTAGATAAAGCCTTAAAGCACAGTATTTTTCTTCATATTTTTGTTATATCCAGGGTAGAAGTATGTGCTAGCCCTTTCGTATAATAAAGATAGGAGCAGTTGATCAATTTTCTTCAACATAACTCTGAATTTCTTATTCACAATCACATTCCACAACACACAAAAAAGCAGAGCTTCCTGTTACAGGAAGAAGGAAAATGTGTTAGTAAGAGTGTAATTTGCTTTCCCTATGAGGTAAGAAAATTAAAGAGCACTTAGGAATATAAGCAATATCCTTTTCTAGTAGCATGTTTAGCACAGTTTTACCATTGTAGCCTGGCACTGGTTTCCCTGCCTGTCCGGGTGGAGGTGTTGTAGAGTTCCCCAAACCAATACAGGAAGCAGTAATTGCAGAACCAGTTTCTGTTAAGAGAACGCAAACATTGTCAGTTAAGACTGTTCTTCATGTCATTAAGTATTTATTAGTTCTAAGTTTTGCTTCTAGTTCAGCACATGAAAATAATAAAATAACATAAAAATCCCTGACAAGCAATGGAAGATTTAGTATTCAGGAGCTTTTATGTATTATCTAATGAATGTAAGTTCATTACGAAAGCTTGTATTCTTCAAAAGGGAACTTTTTCCATTCCATAGAAGACAGTCAGAAATAAACACTTTCTGCATTACACCTATAGTTTATTCTGCTATGGGTAAGGTTATACCACGCCAGTAAGAAACTGCCTACAGCAAAGGCATGACAGAAATACTCTGTAGGGCAGATGTACTTCAAGGTTTATTTCACGGGTCAAAATCCTTGGTAAGAATGAATTCTGGAAAAAAAACATTAATCCATTCTTGGTTGATTATCTTATCCCTGTAAAGAAATATTAAAGTGTCTGTTGTTCTCTTTTGGAGGTACACATTCAGAGATTTGGAAGGTGAATAAATGCCAAATCTCCTCCATGACAATATTGGTCAGGAAGATGAGAAAAGAGGTCGTGCCTAACAAAATTTACTGTAAATAATGAAGTCAGGAACACCTCTTCTATAATCCTGAAGATCTCGCTAGTATTTCTTGGTGGGAACTATTTCAGATAATGAAAAGGCTCAAAAAGAAACAGAGTAGAAAAGTCAGACCTAAATTTTCACTGTTGCCAAAATAAGCTCAAAAGGAACAATCTAAGGACCGGGAATCAAGCTGTTGCAAGATGTGATCATAATCCAGATGTTTTCTCCTCCTCCACCTACAAACATTAAAGTTTTACTAACCACAGCATTTTGGAGTGTGTTTCTTTTGGGTGTGCAGGGAGGGCAAGGGAGATGTGAGAAGATAAATGTCTCTTGGTTTTTGAATCTTAGGAAGTTATTCATTCATTGAACTGCCAACAGACAAATTGAATGCTGGCACTGCCTGCCTTTGCTCCCTGCACGAAGCCCACGGAAGGCAGGTCTGGAATCCCCTCTGAAGTGCCAACATAAAATACTTTGTCAGAGCTTCCAAATGAGATGGATGAATATCCCTCATAATGCCTACGCCTTCCTAATTATCCCCATAGTTAGGCAGCTAGAAATTCCTCCCTCCTCACCTTCCCGTTTTTCATAAGAAAGCTCAATCTCACATAACGTTTTTATACTACAAGATTTGTTATTATAGAAGAGGAATAAAAACTATCAAGTCATATAACAGAGAGTCTAGGTTTGAAAAAAGACCAGTTGCTCTTCTCTCTTTCAAATGCTGCTGTAACTCTGAGCCACAGCAAACAAAGTGTAGGTGGTTGTAAATATTAGCAGGAACACAGTATGAGACTATTACTTTAAAAACATGGCTTTATCATTCTGGAGATGTCCCAAGTCTCAGGTCACTTGGCCTGGAATTCATAGTTCACGCCACCCTCAAGTATCAGCACAACAAAGCAGGTTTTTCTTCAGCTCTATATTTATATCTGATCAGTATGGTCAAAACTATTTTCAGTTCTCTTGCATTAGGAAATTACAGTTGGTTTTGCTGTGAATTTTCTCAGCTTCCATAGCATTCATCTGCCACTTCAGAAGTTGTTAAATGACTATTCAAGTGCTAAAAGGAGCAAGAACAAGAACAAAATTACAGAAACGTGTTGTGATTTTACGTTAGGTGTTAGTAAGCAGCTGAAAATTAGCATCAACATAGCATAGTTAAGCTAGGGCCTAATTCCAGCTGCAGGACACAGAGTGAGAAGTATCAACCCTCAATGCTAATAAAGACAGGCTAAAAAGTTTGCTTAGTTGTTTCCCATCTTCCCCTGGTCCTTCTTCTACATAATGCACTTTCCCTGCACAATCGCGGATCCTGATCTTTTCTTCCAACAAGTAGAACACCCAAGCTAAAATTACAGTGGTGACACAACATCAAAATGATCTAACACACCCCATCTGTGATCACACTGAAAGTTGCAAGAAGAAAAACTCACAATTTGTTCAACAGTTTGGGAGCTTCATTTTCTGCACAGTCTCTATACCGAAGACTTTTTTTTCCTCTTTTCCTTGGAACAGAATGAAAAATGGTATTTTTCTTAGAGAACAGTGAATTGGAAAAGACAGTGGAAGGGACAGTTTCTCTTTTGACTGTGTTAGGAGGAAAAGAAGTGGTAGCACGGAGTATATCTTGCTTTACATATTGCATGGCAAGAGCTAAAAACCATACTGTAACAGACCAGGTGATAAAGGTATTCTCCTGTCACCAAAACATAGTACTTACGTTTGCTACTGAGAGGCAGGGAACACAGCATCACTGTTAACCTGATGTACGAGTAAGATTTGCATGAAGCAGGAATTGACAAACATTTCTGATCAAGAGCTCAAAATCAAAAAGCCCTGAGGGGAGAGGGAGAATCCAAAATTTCTGAAAACTAGTTCAGATTTGCTTGACTCTCTGATAAACTGATAATGAAAACAATATAAACTAGAAAGGAAACTTCATCATACTAATTTGTCTGTATTTGTCCCTGCTTTTTGGACAACAGTGAATAAGACTGAATGAAAGCCCACTTACTCTAAACAAGAATCACAAGTTCTAAAACTTTGTGAATAGGTCTTCATAATTGCTGCTATTTCTTCTATTGCCTTCTCAATTACCAGTGGATATATAATTTTCCTATTTACCCAGTGCTCTAATCTCTAAGCCGTACATTCAGTTCCCATGAGTCAATAAGACTTTTCATATACATGAAAAAAATATGGTTAATATCTGGTGCTTGGACCAGATATTAATTCAGAGAGGGAATCCCAAAAGCATCTGCTCTTTGTGTTATGTTAACAGTTCCTGAATGCTAAAGATTCCCTTACAATGTAGAAGCACAAAGGAGTACTATCAAAGGATAGCATGAATCTTCATGCTGTACATTTCTTGGGAAATCAATGCGTATCTTCCAAACAGGATGCTGGATTGAAATATCAATTTCCCAAACCTATCAGAAAACAGCAACCCCTTTCTAGGACAGCATTTTTTATCACAGAAAAAACAGTCTGACTTGGAAGTGGAATTCAATTCAAAACCCTGCTGAAAAGAAATCATCACTGTTCAGACGAATACAGAAAAATAAGTACTGACGAGAAATTTTCCTTACCAATTATGTATAATACAAGTACTGTGTGGCCCTTTTATATATTTCCAATAAGTAAAGTTGCTTAAGAATCTTTGGTTTCAATTAAGGTTGGTTTCTTTACAACTCAAATCAGGACCTATATACAGGTTACAAGACACAGGTCTGAAAGTTAAAACAGCAACACTTTGAAGAAGGATAATGCTTGTCAAATGGACACTGTATTCCACCCACCCCTTACATCACGTTTCTGAATGTACAAACAGACATATCTTACATGACACTCACTTGTTTAAAGCTGCAGATTCCCCAAAATTAATGCACAGTGTCTAGACAGATTCCCAACACCAAAGTCTTTAGGAACTTGCATATTTTTAACGTAAGGAACAGAACAGTAGATCTGTCTTCCAGTCAGTCCCTTCTGCAAACGTTTCGGCGCTAACCTTCCACTCACTATGCTAGCAAGTTAGCTTGCCCTCCGGCTGTGGAAGGCTTTTCAGGGACAACTGGATCATAAAACTAATTTCCTTTTTGCATAACACCTTATAATGTGACAATGAAACAACGATTTAGAAGAGCAATGTTTTACACTGGAAGAGCAATGTTTCACAACTAGTCTGGTAACTACATTCAACATCTGCTCTGAGTTACAATGGAATGAATATATATACCTCTGAGAATAATGAAAAGCACTTCACTGAGACTTGGAAGAAAGAGTTACTGAGAGATTGTCTTAAAATCATAGCTGTTAAAATTTCCCAAGTCCCTCCTTACGTTTTTACTTTCAGGATAAGGGCTGATGTAAAGAAATAGCCCTCAAAATTCAAAGCTGTGACCTTCTTTGTTTTGTCCCACTCTACATGTAAGTGAAAGATATTATTTTAAAGATATTTCAATATTATTGAGCTATATTGGACAGTTAATGAATAGTCCAATACAGGCATTCTTGTTGCATTTGTGTCTCTGAAAGCAATTCTTGAGATGCCAGAGAAGATGCTGCTGATGCAGAAGCAAAAAGTGCACTCTTACGAGTAGCAAGGGGAGTCTGTAAGGCTACACCTGACTTTATTCACCAGAAAGCTTCCACCTGCCTGTGTGCCTGACTCGCAGAAGCTGTGCTCTGCCAAACGATGCAGAGCAACAGCTAGTAAGTTCTGTGCTCAAAATTGTCTTGCTCATTCACATTCAACAGTCAAGTTCAATCAAAATAAACAGTTTTGAAATAACTCAAGACTTTAAAGATGAAAAATGCCCTGTACCACTTACATTCCTGATACATTATAATTTCTCGACCGTGTCTCATGTTCCTCAACATAATAGACTGTCACACTGCTGAAAGATTGTATTTTCTGGTAGGAAGCACTTAGGGAAAATAGACTGCATTTTGACATCAATATTTGAGTTTGGGCTGCACTACATGAGTAATATGAGGCTGTCTGCTTTGAATTTTTTAGGATGCAATGGATAGATACTGGAAGCATTGTCACGAATGGGCAACCACTGATCTGCAATACGCTACATATTTATGACATAGAGGCAAGAGGTAAACGTACAACCACTCTGTGAGTTGATTAAGTAGACTGACTGTAGTCATGGGGTGGAGCATGACAGGTGTGCTTGACCCCTTGACCAGACTGGCGGTGGTTTGGTGCAGGCTCCAGAAGAGGTAAAGGCCTGAGCTGTAGCTGGGCAGTGAACTCCTCTCGTATCAATCTGTTCTCTGAAAACCCACAAAGGAATAGTGTGACACAGTGACCATCAATATCATATATACCTTTCCCATTGCATGTAATTTGACTACAAGCCAACCACTTTATTCCATAAAATATGAAAGCCTAAGTGAGC